TGGTCCTGGTACCATGTGGTTCTGTTAGATGTGTGGTCCTGTTTGCAACGTGGTCCAGTTAGTTGTTTATTGTTAGCTGCTGTAAGCCTGAGGCCTGACTTGCTGTTTTTCTTGCACTCTTTCAGGGGAAGAAGTTTGAAATCCTTCCTGACGGTCTGCCTTCGGCTCGTAAACTCATGTACTACACAGGATGTCCCGTACGCTCCCGCCACCTCCTGCAGCTGCTCAGCAACAGCCACCGGCTCTACATGAACCTGCAGCCCGTCCTCAAACAGGTCCGACGGCTGGAGGAAAACGAAGGTACGTCCAGCACGTCGCTCCTCCATCGATGACTACGTCTCACTGTGAGCGGCGATACTAAAAAACATCAGTAACAAGAAACATCTAAATCCTCTCATGTAAAGAAACAGATGAGAAAGTCGGCTTTTTGGTTATTTAGTTATATTATAACCGGAACTCAAAATATATCACAATGTTTTATGGTCTTTATGGTCCATCGTCACAGAGCAAAAAGGGGGAACTGGAAAAACACTTAGGTCCGGCCGTGCATGTTGTGAGCGCAATAACGTGAAAAATATGTGAGGTACTGACTTCTGTTTTGTTGTGTGGCTGCATCTCGGCATATAAAAGGTCACTATCAAAGATGTGGTGACCACATCAAACTCACAAGATGGCCGCCACGATCATTTGAGGAAACTTTCTAGTTTTTATATTTCTTAGACGTATATATTCCTCAAATGACTGGGGTGGCCAAAGGTAGTCTATTGTGGGCAAGGCCACCATTGGCCACCCTGTGGCTCCACCATTGCACCTGGTGGTGGATAAAATTGCTTCCTCTCCCTCTGTTCTTCTGCACAGTGTAACTTCTACCCACTTGAATATCTCACACTAAAAACATTAAGGTTTACTTTCATCCCCTGTTTAATTCCAGTCCAGAAAAACACTCATCTCCAAACCTACAAACATTCAGTGTTCAAACCCCTCCGAGACAAACTGCTTGTTACAGCAGAGCGTAAAGAGAATTCTCCTTTCAGCTGCTGTTTGTCGGCTTTTAGCAAACAAGTAAACTTAAGTGTTTTTATTGTGATTATCACAGGATGATTCATATTTAGTGTGAAAGGTTTTTGCGTTACGTCGCTCATCTCCGTGAAACAATAAAACCTGCAGCAGCGCACGCTGCTCCGAGCGCTGATCGCTCACGCAGTGTTTCACCGTCCTCCAGAGAAGAAGCAGTACCGGGAGTCGTACATCAGCGACGCTCTGGAGCTGGACATGGAGCAGCTGGACAAGCGCTCCCAGGCCAGCGGCAGCAGCGCCGGCAGCGTGTCCCGGCCCAAACGCCTGTCCCGCCACTCCACCACGAGCCACGGCAGCTCGCACACGTCCGGCATCGAGTCGGACAGCTTCAGAGCACCGGGGCAGGCCCCGCACCGACCCCTGCGGACCTGCAGCTCGTCCACCACGAGCCACGGCAGCTCCCACACCTCCGGCATCGAGAGCGGCGGGAAGGAGCGCGTCCTGGACGATGACGGTGAGAGAAGTTAGAACTTTTAATTTTATAATATTTGTTTATCGGGATAGAGATGTTTAAAGTTTGTCAGCTGTTCCAGATGTTCCCCATGAGTTTGACTAATTCAGACGACTCGTTCCTCAGAGGTCGAGATGCTGGTGGACGACCCCAAAGACTACGAGGAGCTTCACGAGATGGTTCTGGATCAGGAACTGTGTATCCACATCACAGAGGACATGCTCACCATGTCGCCCGACCAGACCAACGGATACTCAGGTGTGGATCCTCCATGTCCTCTTGTCCTTCTGGACAGCAGTGGTATCTGCTGAAATGTGTCGCTCCTCTGAGCAGATACTTGAGGAACTAACAGACTTTTTGTTCTTTCAAGGACTGATAGTGAAAGACGTCGGCTCGTCCACGTCCAGCTCCTCAGAGACGGTCGTTAAGATGAGAGGACAGAGCATCGAGTCTCTGCCGCAGGTACTTTGTCTCCTGTCTGGTCCTTCAGGAGAAGCTGAGGATGACTCTCAGTTACTACCACACCAAGTTCTGCTCATTATCACATCCAGTGATTCAAACCCGTTCGGTTCTTCGTGACATATTTTGCTGACAGTACAGACACGCAGACAAAATTATTTTTGTTGTTGCCCCCGTCGCAGAGCAAAGAGAACTGGAACACCCGCTGTCCATCCGTGCACGTTGTGTGCATGAAAACGTACGTGACGTACCGACTTCCATTTGGCTGCGTGGCTGCAGCTCGGTGTAGGGAAGGTCACCGTCGAAAATTGGGTTGCCAAGTCAAAATCCAAGATGGCCACCGTACATAAACACACACACTCGAGAGGATCCGTCTGTGCTGCCTTTGTTCTTATCTGCAGAGTAACTCCTCCCACTTTAATGTCCTGCACCAAAAACATTTAGGTTTATTTTCATCAAAAACATTAAGGTTTATTTTCATCAAAAACATTTAGGTTTATTTTCATCAAAAACA